ATACCACCTTAATTTCCCGCTGCATCGCAGATGATCCCGAAAATCAGATGCTTGCCAATGCAGCTTTGAAACTTCTCGCTACCACCCACACGCCCTTTAGCATTCTGGAGTTATCCTGGGCCGTTGCCTTGAGCGTAGCCCAACATGTCTCCACCGTGGATGAGTTGGCTAGGCTGGTAGACCATCAAAGAGTCATGGAACTGATTCATCCGTTCATTGCCTGCGTTGATTTTAGCGATACGAAGAAACGCCAGGTCCGGCTTACCCATCAGTCAGTAAAGGAGTTCATCATGAGAGAATGGTGCAATAAGACGTGTTCGCAACGGCCAGATTTGGCCGACGCTGATCTGCGTTTTGCGAGCCCGGAGGCCTTCATACTGGGTGTCTGTACCAGATACCTGCTATTAGATGAGATTGACAGCAGACATCTGTTCTCCAAGGAGCAAGTCGCGATCGCAGAGCTGCCTCAAGAGGCTGACTTATTTGACGAGAACCGGGAACCGGTTGAGTACGATCCACATTGCACATGGGAAGCTTGGGAAGAAGATATGATCCGGTTTGACCCAACTGATCGTGGCTTTGGCGAGTTCTTTGTATACGCATCATGCTACTGGTTGGAATATTTTGGTGCCATCACGGCCGAAACTCTTCCCAACCTCGCCAACATCGAGGATTTATGCCGCGCCGGCTCGACACGGCTCCGCAATTGGACCCAACAAAACTGTCGCCCAGGCTGCGCGATCTCGCCCCGATTTCCATTCGACAGCCAGTTGTATGATCCCCTCAGCATCACTTCGCTCTATGGATCGGTAGACATGCTGCATCATATGCTGAGAAACTCGAACTTTGACCAGGACAAGTTTCTTGAAAATCCAGCGATGAGCGCGGCTGATCAGATTCTCCAGTGGGGAGAAATGTCCAGGCTCAGGGTACTTCTCTGCGATGATCGGCTGGGACATCAGCTAAGGAATCTTGAATTTTTCCGACTTATCATCAAAAGGTGGCATAATTCCAGTATCAATCGGCCCGGCTGGGGTGATGCATTCGCTCTCGTCGATGATGTGTCTGCTCAAATGGTTGACGAACAATGGGCAAATGAGCTCTTGTGTACAGCTGCCAGCGCAGGCTGTATGCCCATCGTCCGACGGTTGATCACTAGCGCTCAGCAAAAGGAAGGGCTGAGACGGGAATTGCTGCGTGAGTTCCGAAATAAACTGCAGGAGACGGCCCTTGAAGAACCGATGCACCAGTCGATTGGGGAGGCTGTTCTGGCAAACCATATTGACGTGGTTAAATACTTACTCAAAGAGAACAACATTGAAGCCCACCTTCGATATAGAAACCGCCGCGGTGAAAACGTTTTGCATCTGGCATCAAAGCTCTGCAACCCAGAGATGTTTCGCCTTTTGGCTCCCCGCTTCCTCGAGGGCATCCATCAGGCGGATGATCGAGGAGACACAGTTCTAGAGCGAATCGTCGTGAGCCCTTCGGCATCACGAAACCGATATGAGTCGGCGAAAATATTGCTCTCACAGAATGGCGTGAACTGGAACAATCATTCTTGGGATAGACAGCGGAATCCGTTACGGATGGCTGTGCAGCTTTGTGACCTGGACATGTGTTGCCTCTTGATCTGTATTGGCAAGATGGATCCAATCACTGCCTTGCGCTGCAAACGCGGAGACCACGTGGATTTGAAATACAGAACCCGCGACCACGACGAGAACATGCTAGATTCTTTAGTGCGTCTCTTCGATGCCGAGGCAGCAATGTCCCAAGGAAGTTCAATGCAATATGTTAGCTCACTTACGGAAGAGACTCTTCGGCATCTGGCGGAGAAGCATTATCACAGTCGATTTGGTACTTTAGCTGGTGACTCACATACAGCCAGAAGAAAGAGACACTAGCTCAGGTTCGATTCCCAAGACTGAAAACAGTGTAACCGACCGTGGAGGATATTACACAATGATTATATGGCTGTGGCAGAACCCTTTTTTCCCCTTTCTTTGGGGATGACACGCCACATGAACAAGCTTATGGTATGAAAATGGTTCTTCTATGAAGGTTTGCTTTCACCGCCCCCAAAACATACAATGTTTCTAAGAAACTCCCTAATCTTCCAGTGACATTTCTCTCTCCCTCTTGAAATTGCTGTACGTTTACTCACACCATGTTACTTTTCTTTCCCCGTCGGCCCGCGAAGAGATACTCCCGTTTTCTACAGGCTACATTTCTATTAATCCTGTCAGATTGCTAGATTATACTATAGGATGGAATTGATTTTCGGTACTCTTTGGTGAGATGATAATGACCCCTATCACGAAGATACTCGGGGTAGATTGAGTGCAAGGCACTACAAGAGATGATAGATATAGATAGCCAAGGAAAAGGTGTGATCTAAATGATTCTCTTGGAATATACTTAGTGTCCTTGCCTTTATTGCCATATTTACTTGCTTTGTCGTACCCTTAGAGGCAGAAACAGGCCTTGTGGATGGACGCGAGCTCATCGTGCTGAAGCTGTAGAGTACGCTTTCCATTGGGCAGGATAGTTATGTATTGTATACATGATTCGGTACATGTCTCTTCTTCCATCCGTCTATATCCACAAATGAAACCCCGTATGAAAGGAAGGGGTGTCAGCTCTCTTTAATTCCACATCAGAACTCCAAGTCATCGTGGATTAATCTGAATAGGGTGCCTTCCAAAGGCCATCGGTCGAGCATTTCCCCAACACTTGCAGGCCAATCATCGTTCCTTTGGAGAAGAGAGAATGTGTAAGCCTATTCCCAGCAGGGAGGATACCATCCAGCAGTTTCCCGGTTAACAATAGCAGCAATCTGATATTCCTCAATACTAGACGTGGAGTCGCTGACTTTCCTAACAAAAATGTTCTGTCTATGGCTGTCTCCATGGGTGAAAGTGGCCGGATGGTCTTTGAGGACAGAGGGGATCTCGTAAGTAAGAATTTCAGCTTTCCATCCATTTTGTCCACGATCAGCCGAGATTTGGGTGGCGCGAAGCGCTAATGCTTTACTGAAGCTTTCCTCATTTTCAAACGGGCCAGTAACTGTAGGATCATCGTCTGGCGAGTGGAAGTATATATGAGGCACAGGGCCGTGTATAATGCTGCCATAATATGCAGGAGAGGGTAATGATCTCTTCCCTTTAAAGATAGAATGCAACTGACCGAGCAGGATCTCTTTGTTGTTCTCCGAAAGCGAGGGCCACACATGTTCTAAGCTCGTTCCGGGGATATAATCCATGGCAATATACAGTCTGTCTTCCTTTCTATACATCAGGTAAGGTCGTGGTGCGGGAATGAAAAGATTCTGCTCAATGAGAAGTAAAGCATGGCCTTTGTTTTTAAGGACGAAGCGTCCGTATTTGACAACGTAGAGGTCCCACACAACGACATGACGTCCTTATGATCCGGGTTGCGGGTGGTGGAGGGAATTTCTGTTGCCCCGTCGAGTTCGTGTTGCTCAGATAGAGGCCCAGGCAACTGATCTGGATTCGGTAATATGGTAGAGAAAATGCCATTCTGGAGACCCGTATATAGAAAATTAACAGGCCTCAACGTGAACCAGTGCAAGCCTGTCCCGTAAGATCTGCGGGTGATTTGAGACTCTAGGTCTTTATATAAGCGAAGAAGTGTCCTGGATTACCCAGTTCTATGGGATGGCTCCAATATACAAAATGAATATATCCTCTGGGATATAGGAATCTTCTTCTACATGAGGCTCCTGCTACACCTCAGAAACAGACTTTACGCAAAAGGGCTTCGTCTTCTCGGCAAAGGTCGGATTCTCCGGTCGCATATCATACGAGGCGGAGCGCACCTATTTCTCGGGAATATAAGATGCATGCTGCTCACTACGGCCCCCGAATAGCCTACTTAGAATGTGGTTGGTAAGATAGGAAAATGAAAGTAGTTGGGGGCGGCTGTAGCACCTCCCACAAAGATTCCGCACAGCCTCTACCTAGTACCGGACAGACTAATTTCAGGGTAACTGGGTCTTGAGGGGGCGTGCGAGCGCGTCCTAATAAATTTGCAAACATGCAGGTCCTAATCTCTAAACCGCTCCGTGGGTTAATAAAGTATGTCACATTTGGCAGAATCATTTGCGCGATTATGAAGGAGTAGAAGATAGAAGATGGCCGGCCGCAGGCAGCTGGGAGTTTGATCATGGATGGGGTGCGCAAGTGGTCAACGGGAACGGCCGTACCGGACCACCGACCAATAATAGGCCCTGATATGTGCCAAAATCGACCTACAGCCAATTAGAGGGGCGCTGGCTCGACTTGAGGAGTTGCAGATTGCTATCGTCTGATATGCTGTCAGGAAAAAGAGAGGGGCACCCTTATCCGTACCCTACATTCCCTTATATATACCCTGGTCTGGGTTTTAGCAGGGTCACCTGACTTAAATGATCCCATCCCTACCGCTACGCCCAAGGAGGTAATCAGCAAGTGTTTTGATTTCATGGTATTTTTGGTCGTCCTTGCGAGCGCACGAGCGCAAAATTCCGGCAGATGACCAATCCCTGCCTACAAGCTTACCTTGCGTGCCTGCCTTAATTCAACGCGGCGCTTCAACACCTAAACACCCCCGCCAGTGCTGGTCTGGCTCGGTAGCTAGCCGATCCGCTGCTCCGGTATTTAAGTCCTACAGCCGGCTGCTACTGACATGGCTACAACGCTTTGCGTGGTTTGGAATTCATCCTCGTGTAGCCGATTGTGCGTCTACGGAACAGTAGTACAGAGTAGAGCGAGTAGATGGTGGTACACCTGCCTCAAAGGTAAAAATAGTAATGCTGAGTCACATGATGCGTCTGCCCCTGATTTGGCTTAGCTGGCGGAGTTTCCGCCGCTAGCCCATGTTGGGTTAGTTCGGTTATCCACCCTGCGGCTCCACACTGCGGTCTGTATAGAGGCACATCCGGTACATATAAGAATTGCAAAAAGAGAACTCTCCACCACCAGATATCAAAAATTAAGCGACCTACGTGTGACTCGAACACACAACCTCAAGTACCGGAAACTTGCGCGCTGCCATTGCGCCAGCAGGCCCCTTTTGTTAATATAAGTTTGTTTCAGAGCTTCATATTGAGTTTGTACTTCTTAATCGACGGTTTTACCGGGTCAACACCTGAATCTCTAGACAGAGGGGTTGGTTTTTGAGGTTGATTTATTCTATAGACTAGTAAATTAACCTACATAATTATTAGAAAGCCAAGCATCTGCTATTCCATATGCTCTGGTCAGTTAGCTATATATATATAGACTTCGTAGGGTTGTAGGTATAAATATATATTTGTTCATGGAATTGAGTACATATCCGGTTACAATGAATGATCCCAAAGTCAACCTGTCCATGTAACACCACGTTAACGATATACTAGTGATTGATAGGTCTACCGATTATTCCTCATAACAATGTCACAACCACAATGGCTACACCTTCGGCTCCGGCCCTCAAATGACACCACGCAGGTGAAAGATCCCGCCGAGCAGCTCATAAGTCATCCGCATTCTGGGCCTAGTAGTGACTCAGAACTCTGGTCTTTTGTCAGATAGCCAAGCTGGAACCTCTCGCTCTTCATCAACACGATACTGTAGAAGCGCACCTAGCTAGGGCTATTCCCGGCAGAAACACTCGCATAAAATACTGGTCAGCCAGTTCCCCAGGATCGTCCCGGCCCACACTAAGTAGTGGGTGGGCTCAATGAGCTCATTATTTATTATCCTGATTCTTTGGACTGTCAAGGAGGTGATTAAGCTCAGTATCTCATCTTATCAAGATCTTGATGGTAAGATTTCCGTATTATCTTATCTCCGCAGGATCTTTCCTCCCATCTCAGCCAGTGTGGATAGAGGAAATAAACAAGGACAGACAGACACTAATAGAAAAAAAGAACAGAGTGTGCTCAGCAAAAACAAAAAGAGTAATCAAGCACAAACGCCAATTTTGGCGCTGCTGGGAATCGAACCCAGGTCGAAACGGCGCTGCGGAGAACCACAACGTTTCATGATGACCACTACACTACAGCACCTTGATTACATAAAGCAGCTGCCGTACTTGCCTACATCAGGCAGTGTCAGGTGACACGTCAGAAAAGCGACCTGCAAGACGCTCCCCCAACGACACCTCAACATAAACAATAGTTTAGCTTCTGGATGATACAATGACACCTCGACAATCAACATTATCATTATTAATATACGGGGTATATGTTCATCTCTTCCCCATTATATACATGTTACTTTTATGAGTTGTTAGCCTCCAGGATTCCATTCTCTTCCTCCCCCCCATCGTCAGCGGCGTGCGATTCGGCCACCTTCTCATAGAAAGGCGCGAACTTGCTCCGCTTCCTCAGACTCTTTCCAAAGAACCAGAAGCAAACGGGAATAGGGACCAGCACAGCGGCCACACATCCCAGCAGCGTCGCAGCCCACTGGATGCCCATGTTGTCGAACATTTGACGCGAGAAGAGGGGGAAGCTGGCTGCCACCAGGGACCGGCAGAAGGTGTTGGCTGCGATGGCGGATGCGGCACTAACAATGGTTAGGGATGGACTGATTTTAGAGACGAAGGCGCGAAAACTTACAACATCAGGTACGTGTCGATCAGATAGTTGAACAACTGGATGAAGATGATCAAAAGGCCAAACCCGGTGAACAATCCACTCAGTGTGGGAACAATCCATGGAATGCTCTTCGTGTGACCGGTCCAGCCAAACCAGAACAGACCTGCAGCGAAGAGAGCACCTCCGACGATCACAGGTGGCAGACGCCACTCCGGTACGGGAATACCCCCGTTCTTCTCCAACTTCTTGTTGTATCCCCTGCTGTCAAGCACGATGTACGTCGCCGCAATGATAAGTCCGACGACCATACCGAAGAGAGTTAGGCCACCAATACCCGCGGACATGCCGTACACGCCTTGAAAGACGAGAGTGTACGCCGTGAGGAAGCAGTACAACAAGCCATAGATGAAGCTGAGATAGATGGTCACCGCGAGGATCAACGGCTCCCCGATCAGCAACCGAATGGGGCGGGAGAAGTTGTTTACCACCAACTCCCGCAAGTCGACTTCGATTTCCTCCTGTTTTGCGTGAATCCCCCAGTTCTTGGTGCGACGGCGCAGTTCCGAGGCCTTGGAGACCAGGATGACCGGCGGATAGGATTCTTTGAGGAAGAACGTGTTCATCACGAATGCCGCGTAACCCATGAACGCAGGGATATACGCAGTCCAGCGCCAGCCCAGATACGACGCGTTGATGAAACCACCGATAAACGGTGCCAGGAGCGGCCCCAGGAACACGGTGCTGGCGAACATGGCAATGGCGACACCACGAGTGCGGTTGTTGTAGATATCGGAAAAGATGGCAGCCACGACCGCCAGCGGACAACTACCGAAGACACCACAGAAGAATCGACAGATCATGATCGTCTGCAAATCCTTGGCGACGGCGACGGCGGTGTTGAAGATTCCGAATCCCAGCATGGCCACGACGATGGGTGGCTTACGGCCCTTGAGCTCGGACAGAGGTGCCCAGACCAAAGGGCCGGACGCATAACCACAGATATATAATGAACTGGAGAGGGTGGCCACTTCGATGCCGACACCGAACACCTTTGCAACATTGGTGGTGGAGGAACTAAAGATGGCTGAATCGAAGGTACTGCAGATACTGGTGAAGGCGAGCATGGCGCTGATGTACAACCTAACGAGAAGTCAGTGGCGATCAACGTCTTCATCAATAGCAAGGACATACTTGGTCGATAACGCCCAATTCTGGGGATATAGGGGGTCCTCTGGCCCGTCGAATTCGACGACATAATCCTCACGATCTGGCAGAGGGGGCGGGTACTCCTTATTGGCACCCATGCGAGGTAATGGCGCGCGGGAGGCGCGCGACTTGACGCTCTCACCCACGGTCATCGCATGTTGAAGGCGTTGAGTTTCGATCCGGCTCAGGGCATGAGAGGTATTCGTGCGATGGCGCTCGAGGTCGACTTCGGTGTTTCGCGACTGAAGTGTGTGCAGCTGAGGATTGTATTCAATAGAACTGCTGTAGCCAGTCGATCCGGTTGTACCTGACGAGGACGGCCGTTCGTGGCCCTCCTCCTTCTCAAGAGCATGAGACCGAGCATCGGTCTCAGCCAGCTCGAGTCCCTCGTCGACGTGGTTCATGATGGCCGACAGGGGAAATCTGGTCTGGTAGGGCCAGGGACGACAATTTTTGTTCGCGCAGAGACCGAAAGGGACAGGAACCACGTCGATGGGGGTCTAGCCTGAATAATAAACGAAAACAGCTGCTCGCCTCCACCAGGGTGGCCCCAGGCCAGCATCCGATTTATCCGTCCTGCGCTCGGGAGACCCACCGCGAACGGCTGCCATTCCTCATCCCGATTGCCGAGTTGATCGACGTATCCGAGTGTGCAGCTGCGGTGATGGAGTTTTTGCTTTGGAGTTGGCCCATGAGTCTTTTCAGAGGGTAAACTGTCGATTCTATCCTCTTCATACTGTTAGCAATCTCTTGCAATTGCTGTCGCGCTGGAGGGTCGTATGATTGCTGCCTCAGGCACCAGAACGCAGAGCCTCGGCGCCAAGGCCGTGACTGACTCCGCCATGACATCATAGACACGAGGCATCAGTCAAGCAGGCAATTTCCCTGCAAAATTTGCTACTATCCGCCACTAGGCCTACAGCCCCAATGGTCCGTCGCCTGACCAGCTGATGGTTTGCCCCTGTCTTTATCTTTCTACTTAGCACTCCGTATTCAGGGGGTATCAGTGGTTCACCGATCACTGATATACAGATATTCCCGTGAAGGGTGATGGCCATCTTGGTTGACACTTGCCTGACTCCATGCTGCTGGTATTGCTTGTCAGTTGGACCCAGACACCCTAGGTTAATCTCTTGCCCGCTAGCTTGTTTTGCTATCTGGCCAAGACCTGCGCCAGGCACCGATTACTAGTGGGACATCTTCGGTCTCGGCCTGACCGGCGGTCCGCACCCCTCATTGCTGAACCGTGTTGATGTCTGACCAATTCCTAATTCCGAAACCAATTCCGTGGTTGCATGCCACAAGATGAAATTTCATTGGGCTTGAGAAGAAGGTGGTTTCGCGTGACTCGGTTCTCCACAGGCTGTTATTCACATCCAACAATGTCGACCACGCAGTTTGTTACTAATTTAAGCAGTTGCGCAGATATCCATCATGACATCTCGATCAAGCGGTCAACAAGATGGTGGACTACAGGGATGCCCGACTTGACACCGAGCGCATGATCCTGCAATCCGGGAACGATCGCTTTAAGTGAACGAGATATGTAGACTCCATGCCGCATAACCCAAACATATCCGTCCTCCTTTAAGCGGGTCCCAGGATTGCCGCTAGTTGGGCTCTTCGATCTGGTCACTTCAGGCCTCTGACACGGGCAGATAAGGACTGCCGTCCGAGCCGGTGATGGATCGATCGGAGCGGATGGTTGCGCAAGCCTTGACCGCTATGATCTCACATGAACTATGAACTATGACCCCCGACATCATACCCCGTACTTTCTTTGACCCGCCTTCTCCAATTCGGAGGTGGAGCTTCTACTTTGCGATGGAGCTTCTTGTATGCGGTGCCGGTGCGGGGAATCCCTGTAAGTGGACAGCGAGCATGCGATGCTTCCAACCCGATGTCGTATTAACTGTGTTCATTGTTTAAAGCAACTAGCACTTACACACTACGTAGCATATACTGTGTAGAAGATAATCCAAGGGTGGCTGATCGGCGATCATCGGTCACCCGCGGAATGCGGGGCATAATCCCTGGCAGTAGTAATGCAGATTACTCGTGGCATAACGATTATTCCTGTGCATCCGAGTCTGACATGCTTTGCTTATCCTGAATCCTTCAAGATCTAAACATAATACTCCGTACAGTGTATTAATTAATCAGAACAAAGGCTATTCCATTCATTTACTCCCCTGACCCATAAACACCCCATCAATTACATAGTACACACGCCATACTCCAGCAACCAACCAATAACAACAAAAACAACCCAAACCA